TCTATAGCGGACTTGTCCAGCAAAGCCTGAACTTCGTCTCGCAGTATACCCACCCTGACCGGTGAAGTCTGGCGGGCCACGCTTCCACAGTGGTAGATGGCCGACACTGACGGTGGAAAGCACCCTCCCACGCTGGCGAAAAGGCTGGGAGCCAGACGAAGAGGACTGCTCCTTGCCCTTACCCTTGGTGGGACGGCTCCTCCGCCAACCCCTGCCCAGCAGCCGAAGCCAGCCGGCAGACTCGGGTGTAGGCTGCACCCCAGGGGGAGGAAGCCGGAACAGGAGCATGGGGGGCGAGAAGCCTGCGGGTGCTCCAACAAGGCCTTAGAATCCTTGAAGGAGGTAGCTGCAGCGGCAGCCTCCCATATGACCTGCTGTGCCCCAGGAAACAACGCTCCCAGACGGAAGGGAAGGGCCAGCAAGGCCTGCTGTGTAGCTGCCGTGTAGCAAGACGTTGACAGCCACAGCTTGAGCATCCCCATGACTGCGCACATCACCGTAGACACCGCTGACCACAAGGAGTCGCGCGCTAGGTGGGCCTGAACTTCGGATAGTTGGCGTAAGAGAACGACATGCGGAGAAACGTCCCCAGCATTCCCCTCAGTCTCCAGGGCCGACCTCTGAATCGAGCAGAGGTAGGCCTTGTGGATGACCACCCGCACCTGCTGCATGGCATTCCGGTAAACCTCCTTGTAGGTCCGGTAAGCCTGCAGCAGGGGGGCGCCCGCGAGGGCAAACGGTGGCACTAAGCGCCCTTACCTGGCAGCCGGAACTGCACCGGAGGAAGCCGAGACTCCCCCCCCAGGGCGACCGAAGTGAAAATACACTCATCGACCACTGGCACAAACAGGGAATTGTCCCCCAGCTGGTACCTCTTGACAAGCTCAGGCAAGTCAAACCGGAGGCATGTCCCAACCAGGAGAGGATCCACCACGTCCTGCACCAGGGACAGCAAGATGCGGAGCAGCGTCTGCGAGGGTTGCCTAGGGGCAAACGCCTCGCCTGGCAGGCGGAACTCAGCCGAGTCCGAGGCACCGCGGCCTGGGGGATAAACTCAGCAATGCGTTACCGTACCTCCCGCAGAGCCGTCGAGAAACGGAAAGCGCCCTCCGGCTCCTCTACCTCCCCAACGTCCATGGACTCGGCACCCGAGCCCTGACCCGGTGGGAGGCCTAGCACCAGACACAGAGGGAAGGGAAGAGATGAAGGAGCTCCCCGCTTCAGCACCCGAAACCACACTCGAACACCGGTCCCGAGACTCGGGAGGAATACCAGGCAGAACTGGGACCTCCGCTCTCATGGGGCAGGAGGGTGCAGGGACCGGAACCCCAGGAATCTTCAACGGACCCAGCGCCAACACCGAGAGGGGGACTGGGAGCAAACCATCCCCCTCCGGGGTAGCCGAGTCATCCGGACCCGAAGCCAGAGGCAACGGATATACAGACGCCTCCAGTCTAAGGGATCAAGCCGGGCTTGGCGATCCCACCCCCGGACTCTCCGTCCCCTGCTCAGAGTGGGCGAGGAACTCCTGCCGGAGACCTCCAACAGACTCATGAACAAGGGACTTCACTGAGTCCATGTGCTGCTGAAAAAGATGTGTTATTACGGACATGTCAAAACCGCTGGGAGCAGTAGAAGGCGCCTTACTGCGCGACTTAGCTTTTTTGCCTGCCTTAGGTTTTTTGGCTTTAGACGGGGGGACCTGGGTCAGTTCCCCTCACACCTCTCGCATTTCTCTATAAAAGAGGAAATCAGCAGCCCTCCTTTCCTGGGCTCGGGGGGGGAGTTCACATATGTCGGGATTATGTCCGACTTTCTCCAGACAAACTAAAACACTTGTCATGCTTGTCTGCTCTGGGAATACCCTGTCCGCAGACAGAACATCCGCAAAACGCCTGAAAGCAAACACGCAAGCATGTAGCTAACAGCGGAGCCAGCAGCATAAATATACACGTACAAAACATTGAAAATTACGTGAATGCGACCACGGGAAGAAATACTTGGTAAAAAACGCAAAATTTCCCGCCATGGCAAAGCAACACGTGCGTAAACCACGGGAAAGTTAGAGTAAAATATTTAATACAAAGTCACAATTATGAGACAATCGATCGCAAAGCCTTACTGTTCCGTTTATAGGACAGTAAAGACCATACATACAGGTGATGGTGTCCCAGACATTATTCTCTTGAACTTCGTTTTAGTAAGGAGTTCAGCTCTACTCTACACATCCGTTCAGTGGAATGACAGCAGAAGGAATGATGATACGGGCCTAGGTGCTTACCTGGTTGGCTGCGCATGCATAGCGGGAGGCAACTCCACGAGGTGGGGGCCGTATAATAGATAAAAAAAGATTTTATTTATTGTACAATATTTTTATTAAAACATTGATACAACTGTCACAGGACATTTTCAGCGCAGAAAATGCATATATGTACCCCAAGGACGATCTCTATGAAAAAGAATTGACAGTGCCGTCTTAATCCAAGCCCTGCTTCAGAAATCAACATTTTTTTTATATAATAGTTTGCTTACCTTCTTCAAACGTTTATTCGTCAAACCATAACAGCATTTTTCACTTTTGGCCTGAACATATTTATAGGTTTTTTATCTAAAATTGGACTTAGTTATTCAATAAAGTGAGGTTGTATAACATCTGCCGTTAACGTGTTTCAGATCAAGATCCACATCTGTTTTGTTCTACCTGTATTCCAGACGTGTAGAGGATGTCATTGATCTTCCCTTAGAGAAGAGGAGTTTGCAGCCGTCTTGCTGGTGGTAAAATGTAAGAAATACGACAGAAACGGTGGGAGTGACGATCTTACTCAATAGATACTAACCTGTATCTGCTAGAGGTAAAGTAAGTTTTCCACGCTTCTGATGAAGATAAACCTTCAGATGGCACCCCTGAAGCTACTGAACATTTGGCGATCTTCAGATAAGTCCTTCTCTGCTTTTTTATCTGCCGTGAATAATGTTCAGAGTAAGGCCAAGAAGATTATGAAAAAGAAGAGCAGCTTTCCAACATCTTCGAGATCGGCGGCAATGGCTAAGGTCAGTTGCACGAAGAGGTTCACCTTCACGAAGCGCTCAGAAATCCCCCTTATGCGGAAGAAAAACATGTCAGCCAGAACGTCTCAGAAGTCGACTTAAGTCGCAGAAGTCCAACACCTGCGTGAAACCTTCGACCTCCACGCAGCCTCCGGCATTAATAAATTAAACCTATCACAGATTTCGCGCAGCCCATAACGTTCGAGCAGCATTCATAATTCGTGTTGGAACGAAGAATCAACCCTCTTGCCAGCACCAGAGCTTCCAGCAGAGCCAGGGCTTCGCATAGTTGATGGCGTTTTAGAGCAGCTCCCATCGCATATGCATCAAACCATATCGTAATCACAAGCCTTCGAGCACGCGTTCGTGCGCCCGGCCCATTATCAACAGCCTACTGTACCTCCGCCAGCAAACGACTTTGTTTCCAACAAATGATTCTTGCCATAGAGCAGCAGATCTCCATGAATGCTCCACCATCTCACAGAACTCACAACGTTCGTCTGCGGCTCCAAACCCTTACAGCGCTTTCCTACTACAGGAAGAGAAGGTTTATGAACCTTCTGCAGCTGAGGTGACATCACAGCAACAAGGGCTTACGTCTATGTATGATGATCAAGGGTTGCCTTCGTGGATAGCAGACGGGTAACCAATAGCCTCTCCATCAAAGGATTGTCCTCCATTAGATACTTACAGTATCTCAAGTGATAACCTTGACTCTCTTAACTTACCACCTACCGGGGCAACGATACAGGTTGTGAAAACCATTGACGCTTCCTTCACCAAGGCTACTATGTCGCAGAGTCTGCCTACGCTACACATCAATATACAGAAATTCCTGCTGCGCGATATGACACCTTTTCTACCGGCGCCTGAACTTGGCGAAGACTATAATCTGCTGGCCAACTCTAAGTCGAGATCCTACACAGTGGAAGACAGGATGCTCGCATAACTTGATAGAGCTACCATCCGTCGAGATCCATCAATGAGGCCATGATCGTGGACCTCATTCAAGAGTAGATTCTCTGGCATCCAGAAGGCAAAGGGTAAGAGATCATTTCGTTGTGATAATCTCGGTTATGTTTAGATTTGGCACGAAATACCAGAGCACATCCTGGAAGAAATCCAATATTTTTTACATCCTGCATGCAAAAGGATAAGTCCCTCACCTTTACCTAAAGCTAGTTTACGGAAGGTATTCATACCTTATGAAACCCCAAAAGGTGCAAACATTTCCAGATTCAGTGCTTAGACACAATTACAGAATACTCAGTTACCATGTGTTACTTCAACAGCCGCAAAGATATGAACTTGTCACAGTACGAGATGAATAAGGCAAAGGCAGAAATGTAATAAATGAAATTTATTACAAAAATTATATATATAATGGAAACAAAACCATTTCCCCAAAATCAACCCCCAAATCACCCTTCATTCATACCGCATTCATCACCAAACATAATAATAGCACACAATCACTACTATACATACCCTTTACACACACACAAAAAAAACAACTAACCCAATAGAACAATAAATTTGTCTAATACAACTATTTTACATTGTACAGAGCGTACACCACGTGTATCAAACACGGAATGGGACTTAATTTTCACTGATGATAAGTTCAATCATAGTTGTTGCTCTTGTCACATTACATTTCACTTAGAACAACTGTTACGTTATTCAACATACAGGCAAGTGAATATGCTAATAAAACATCTGATTACAACATTGTTTCACAATGTACCACATATGACTGACAGCAAATAATTCACTTGCAACTCAATCGTGAGAATTGACATTTTTGTATATTTATTGGTACAACATTTTTTGATTGACAAAATGATAACATAATCATCATTTAACAAATACCCATATTTACATAGCTCTACAATAATAATTACAAAGCAACATGATAAACATAAATATCCAATAAAACAAATTCTACTCACACCATGAAATCAGACCAGCCACCTTGCAAATACAGCCATCCTCATCAGACAACTTTCATGACTGCACTCACCAACCCTTGCACTCTTCCTAATATAATCAAAACTCACACCTTGCATGCTTTTCTTGCCACACTAGCCTCTTCATACCACCTTGCATGCTTTCTACCCATTCCCACATCCTGATACTCACCTACTACAGTCCAACCACACTGTGATACATGTCATACAGTTAAACAAAATTATCATGTGATTTTGACACTTGTTTTCAGAGAAAACATCCGAATGCGTTTCTTACAAGTTCTCATTGAAATGTGTCCATCTTTTTCACTTCATTAGACTTTGAGATGGTCTCTAGCAGACTGGTATTGTTGAATCTTGGACTTATAATTTTGTTTTTCTGTTCAGAAAGGCTTAGATGCTGTGCTGCTCGTTATCGGTATTTTAAAAGTGAAAAATGTGTCTTCCCCTTCCGTCTTGCAAGAATCGTAAACTTGACATATAAGGCTGCGAATCAAGGAACTATTCTACATACACTGCATACCCCCTTGTTACATCAGGCATTGAAATCAGTTTGATTGGCATTTAGAAGTTGGTGTGTATTATAGCTAAAACACATGGATTATCATGAAACGGCCCTCCTATTATAAAAGGCTGTTATTCTGGCCCATTTCGAGTTCGAGTCCCGGAGCATTACTCTCACAGGAACTTTGATACTTAAAACTGAACCTTTGACATTTCTCGTAAACACAACCACATTCATGAAACACGTTGTGCACATGCATTACCTGCACCCAGGCCCTGTAAAAGCACAAGGAATTGTGGAACTCAATCACTTTGAGAAAATGCCACACTTGACACAAGACGAAAGGAATGAGGTTATCGGTATGGTCAGCCAAGGTGCTTCAGATGTTATGATTGCCAGGCACTTTAATGTGCATCCATCCACTGTAAGTCGACTCAGACAACGTTTTCGGGCTACCGGAAGTGTTGCTGATCGTCCGCGACCTGGTGCACCACCTGTGATAACAGCTCGACAAAACCGCAATATCCGAGTTTCACACTTGCGCAATCGGTTCCAAACAGCTGATGATTAGGCAAGGAGGACAATTGGGACAAGTCAACGTCATTTCAGTGCCCAAAAGGTGCAAGGACACCTTGCTGCCTTCAACATCCGGTGTCGTCACCCGTACCGTGGTCCAACCTTGTTGCATCGCCACAGACTTGCCAGACAGCGATGGGCAGCAAATGGGGCCAATCTTGGCAACAGGACATGGCCAGATGTCATTTTTTCAGATGAATCCAGGTTTAACTTATCCTTTGCAGATGGACGTCAACAGATTTATTGACGTAAAGGAGAAAGACTTGCGCCAAACTGTGTCCTCGAACATGATCGTTTTGGAGGGGGTGGTGTCATGATCAGACCACAGACCATCAGAGGCTGCAGACCATCCAACAGCTGTTCCTGAGAAATGTGTGTCTTTCAATGCCCCAAAGACTGCGAGCATGTCTTGCAGCGCACGGTGAACACACACGATATTGACTGCAAGTGACCTCACCTTTGTGTGATGTCGTTGTTGCGTCACTGATGTTGTTGTTGACTGGACATTTTCAGATGAAATTATTCACAGATGTTCACTTAAAACATATCTGCCAGTTAGGTTTATATATGTTGAAATTAGTGTAAGTAAAGAAAGTATGATTGTCAAATTGCATTTTTAATGGCTTTCAGTATATATGTTAACGCTGTTTGTGAAACTAATTTGCTACCCATTACAATGAACAGAGGTGTCATTACATGTATCCCTAAATCTAATAAAAATAAGAAATACCTTAAAACTGGCGACATATCTCTCTTGAACTCGGTGTATAAAATAATCAGTATTTGTTTAACTATCAGAATAAAGAAAACTCTACCTCATCTTATCCACACGAACCAAACAGGTTTCATACCAGGTAGATGTATCAGTGATAACATTAGATTGCTATATGATATTATGTTTGAACTCAAGGAGATTAATAAACGTGGAATGTTACTCCCCACACACTTTGGAAAAGCCTTTGATACTGTCTCTAAAGACTTTATTATGCTGGTTTTGGAAAAATTTGGTTTTGGATCAAACTTTAGAAAATGGATCTCAATCCTATCCAAAAAATGCTAGCTCTTCATGTCTTCATCTTTTATAAATGAACGAGGCTGCAGACAAGGTGACCCAATATAGGTTTTATACCAAATATGGTGTTTTCATCAATGAAATCAGATAAGAACTGGTTTCAAAAACAGAAAATTATGATTGATTCCAAAATAACTTGACAGAACATATTATAAACTCCCTGACTTATTGCCTGTAATTAGGGTAAATATGCTGTAATTTTGTTTGTTTGCTGTTTAATGCCACACAAAGCAATCTTCCAGCTATATGACAGTGGTCTGTAAATAATGGACTGTGGACAATCCTGTGATCAACAGCAGGGGCATCAACCTACACAACTGGCATTCAATGATATACGGCAATGATTAAGCAGAACAATCTTCATTCTGTTATTAAACATAACATAACATCTTCGTATGAAAATAGAGTTTATTACAAAATAGAGAAAATATGACAAAAATCACTGAAAATAGTTTATCAAAAATAAAGTTTTCTCTTGATTGATTTTCGCAAAAGTCAATAAAGACTCTTATAAGTATTAGACAACACATGAATATATGCATAGTATAGACGTTTATTATTGTATAACTAACAAACATACCACATATACTAATTACTACATTTTCTTTGACAACTTTTCACAAACCATATAGTCTAAATTGATATTCAAAAGATCCAATCATAATAACACATTACTTCAACAGATTCACATACCTAACATTTTAATCACTTATGATGTGGTTTAAGTACAATACTATTGTCACCGGAGCATCAAATAGAAGCATGTAGAGGCTCATCTAAACAGAAATACCTCGATACTAGTAGTGTGAACAAACAAATATTTCTCTTAGTCTCTTCTAACTGTTAATATTTACTATACCTGATCTGTTTCATGTCATAAAACCTATAGTTTTGTTATATTATTATTATACATGAGCTACAGAAGTTCTAGTGAAGGGCTTCAGAGAGTGGGCTCATAGATGTCCCTGGCTGTGGTGTTGTAGAAGGACAGCTGTTTCTCTGTTCGCAAACCATAGTTGCCATCATAGGTCCTGTGGTACCCGCCACTTTCATGATCAGAGCCATTCAAGAGGTCGGAGTCTTTGGTCTGGCGTCTGGAAGGAGAAAATATGTTAATCAGCTTTCAGTTAATCTTTATTTTGTTGCAGTGGAGGCCACAGGCCCATTTGACATTTACATCTGACCATGAGAGGTGTATGTACAAACTAAATAAATGACTCCTTGTTTGAGTAGGTTACAATATGTACATGTAATTGTCTAAACACATTAAATACAGACATTGCTAGGTCTGGTAAAGTTTCTGGATTTACATCTGACATCAACATGTTTATTTTATGTATCTTAGGATATAAATATAATTTTGTAGGTGAATACAAGGATCTTAAATATTGGTATACATTACACACTAATAAAAAATGCATTCATTATAACATTGTTTGCATACAACACATACCCAGTAATCTGTCAGCTTTAGGTTCATTATAGCTACAGATTTCAATTTGAATTCAAAAATAATTTCTCATATTTCGATAACTTACTGCAACTTTTAAAAACATCCATTTTAGTACACTGATAACTGAAGTTTTTTTGAAGAGCAAATACAAAGTAAGCAATTGCAAATATCACTAACCATTGTGTACGAAGAGGTTCAATCTCACTTGGAAATTGTCTGTTACATTTACCTACTTATTTAATCTGGAATGCTCAGTGCTGAATCCGTTCAGTATGACCTGTACCATGTACAGCCCAGGGAAGTGACATATTTAACCCATCACATACATAATGAGAATGTCAAAAAGGGTTACACAAGTTTTGACACAGATACCACAGTTTGCCTGATTCACAAATATGTAGTACTAACAACACTTTTTACAATTCTAAGTAATAGATAGGCAAGAATTTGTGACTTTTTCCAGCAGCTTAGGCTATTGAACGTATATTCACTGCATTATTATATACAGTGGACACTGTATAATCCGACATCTGAATTATCCGACAATCTGTGAATTCTGACATATTTTTGGGATCCCGATAGCGTTCCTCTATATTGTCATCATTTAAACATTGAATTATCCGACATCTGTACATTCCGAATTCCGACACCATTTTCTGGTCCCAATGACACTATTAATCTGTACAATCCGACATCCTCTCCCCATATTGGACTAAAATAGCCAATCAACCTGTCAATGACAACTAACATCCTGCGACTGGTAGTCTCAGCACTTGCTAATTGGGAGGTAATTAGCAGTGTGAGAACGCCTGTACCTTTGTTTTTACAAGCTGAGTGGCCAATGTGAGGAGTAGTAGTACATGTATGTATATTGTACTGAAGATAATAAATCCAATGAAATACATGTACATGCTAATACAGAATTTGTTTTTCCCTCTTATTTACCAAGAAAATAGATGTTAATCTTTAATTTCATGATATAAGCCAGTTACAATGTATGGTACTCTTTGAAAAGTATTCAAGCAAGGAGACACTGAATTATCCGACACTCTGTATAGTCCGACATTTTTTCCCGCTCCCAGTGAGTGTCGGATTATACAGAGTCCACTGTATTTATGAACAAAGGGAATGCATAATCACATTTACACCTATGTCAAACACAAACAAGACTTGAGCATGAGAAAGAAGAATTGGTGATATCAATCATTGATTAATTTGAATTTTGTAATTCTCATAGATTGCATATCAATCATTGTTATTTTTAGCACAAAATAATTTTAGATATCTCAAAATAACTTTCGCGACATCAATGAATACCTAATAAAGTATCTAGTATTACCTATTACTTAAAGTAGGTGTCTGACCCGGAGAGTGTGGGTTCGATTTCCAGTTGGGACTCAACCCGAAACAGTTCTAGAACCTGTACTTTACTGAAGAAGTGTAATCCCAGTTATAGCATGTATTACCATGATGTTGCAGTGATATTTATAATCACCAATGATGTCATTAACTAATGCATCTACTCTAATGTTCAACCGACATGAACAATGGTGTTGCTGTCATGACCATAATGCTGTATTGCTCGTCAGGTCTTTGCTTTTTAACATTCTGTCTTTGTTTTCATTTCTTACTTATTCATTGACTTTGGAATGTTTTGACTCCACCATGCTTTTGATAAATGATATACGATGTAGTTCTACTTTGGTGGATATTATGCAAGAATGGGCAATACAATCAGGGTTTGTCTATGAAAATCCCTAATTTTAATTTCTTTGTTATTTCAGTTATTACTTATGCTTTAGCACACCAACACCATAATGTATGATATTCAATTTACTATCTACACATAAGTTTTCGTAATGAGAGGATATGAATTAAGATGAGAGCCTGACATGGTTATGTCATGGTAAAGAAAGCACCAACTGATGGCTCTTTCTGAATACATTTGGTAGTCATACAGATCAGCAATGTTTACTGTATATATGCCACACTTTACTTCTGTAAATAATGTGTATGTGCAGAGTGTTACCTTGTACAGAGGAAGTAGCCCGTTACGATGATGGCAATGAGGAAGGCTACAGCTATGCCCACAGAGATTCCTATCACAACACGACTACTGTCTTCAGTGCGGAGCGTGGGGCAGCCTGGAGCTGAAATGTATATAACACACATTACCACATCTCTGCATCAGTTAACTACACTTAGAACCAACTCAAAGGGACAACAAGATATTAATAGTTTGTTATGGCTCTAGTTTTTTTTGTGCATTTCCACCACATATCTCCAGTGTTGCAAGAACTCCATTGACTTCCTATCAAGCACAGGATCAACTTCAAAATTATCTGCCTGGCTCATCAATGTTTGACTGACACAGCTCCTGTCTACCTCTCAGAACTGATACAACCTTATTGTCCATCTAGATCACTTCGGTTAGAAAGTGGCCAAGCTCACACGATTTGGACAATTCTCCTTCTCTTACGCTGCTGTTAAAGAGTTGAATGATCTGCCTCAACACATTTGTTCCTGCTCTATTTATCCTAGATTCAGAAGTCTCCTAAAAACACATCTCTTCCGTGAACCTTTCTGTTGACTCTATTGACATTCTGTGCGCCTTGAGCAGGATATTTAGCCTGGAAAGGCGCTATACAAATGCTCTAGATCTATTATTATTATTATCAGAATATACAGCATGTGTCTGTGACCCAACAAGCAGTTTGTTATATCTGTCAGAACATTACAGGAAAGTTCTTTATAAACATGGTTTATTGTATGTGAAGGAGGTGTATCCACACAGGGGACATAGTGGACAGACTGACCTGACAGACTGGTCCAGGAGGTTGTGGAGGTACCCGGCTCACATATTGTGCAGGAGTCCTTTATGGCCTTCGCAGCATAGCACTCTCCATCAATCAGGCACTGGTTAGATCCAGCCTGGTGCAAGTCAACAGATATCATATAAATATACAAATATATAAATATGGTTACTGCAGTAGAAACAAGTTTTTGGATGGGTCATAATTCTATCATACAAAGGGATTGTAAAATATCCCCTTATTTTCCAGGATCAGATGTTTTTTTTGTGAATGGATAATATCAACTTGCAGGGACATGTTATATCTAGTTTGCTACATATCAACTATATAGATCTCAGTATATTGTGTCTGCATTCCAACAGATGCTTAACATTATATATATCATTGTGATGAAAGTGAGAATGTGGTCTGGACTACTCAATCATTGATGTGGCTTACCGTGATTGTCCATGTAGCTTACCTTGATTGTGTTTGTTGCCTACCTTGACTTTGTACATGGCCTACCTGGAGTGTGTATGTGGCTTACCATGATTGTCCATGTAGCTTACCTTGATTGTGTTTGTTGCCTACCTTGACTTTGTACATGGCCTACCTGGAGTGTGTATGTGGCCTTCCTTGATTGTGCATATGACTGTACATCTAGCTTACTTTCATGGTCCAGATCAAGTTGATTGTCTTTGTTGATTGTCTTGTTTGTCCGTGTGGCTTACCTGTATGTAGCCTACCTTGATTTTGTGTAGCCTACCTTGATTGTGTGTAGCCTGCCTTGATTTTGTGTGGCCTACTTTGATTGTGTGTAGCCTACCTTGATTGTGTGCAGCCTACCTTTTTTGATTGTGTGTAGCCTACCTTGATTGTGTGTAGCCTACCTTGATCGTATGTAGCCTACCTTGTTTGTATGTAGCCTACCTTGATTGTGTGTAGCCTACCTTGATTTGATTGTGTGAAGCCTACTTTGATTGTGTGTAGCCTACCTTGATTTAGACCTTGATTGTGTGTAGCCTACCTTGATTGATTGTGTGTAGCCTACCTTGATGATTGTGTGTAGCCTACCTTGATTTGTGTAGTGATGATTGTGTAGCCTACCTTGATTTGATTGTGTAGCCTACCTTGATTTGATTTGATTGTGTAGCCTACCTTGATTTGATTGTGTGAAGCCTACCTTGATTTGATTGTGTGTAGCCTACCTTGATTGTGTGTAGCCTACCTTGTTTGTGTGTAGCCTACCTTGATTGTGTGTAGCCTACCTTGATTTGATTGTGTGAAGCCTACCTTGATTTGATTGTGTGTAGCCTACCTTGATTTGATTGTGTGAAGCCTACCTTGATTTGATTGTGTGAAGCCTACCTTGATTTGATTGTGTGTAGCCTACCTTGATTTGATGTAGCCTACCTTATGTAGCCTACCTTGTTTGTATGTAGCCTACCTTGATTGTGTGTAGCCTACCTTGATTTGATTGTGTGAAGCCTACCTTGATTTGATTGTGTGAAGCCTACCTTGATTTGATTGTGTGTAGCCTACCTTGATTGTGTGTAGCCTACCTTGATCGTATGTAGCCCACCTTGTTTGTATGTAGCCTACCTTGATTGTGTGTAGCCTACCTTGATTTGATTGTGTAGCCTACCTTGATTTGACTCTGTGTGTGGCTTACATTGATGGTGCATATAACTAGCAAAGTGATACCAGTGAATCTCAATCTAACTCCAAATTGGGTCATGATCAAATATTCATTTCAACGCAGAATGTAATGAAAACATCAGACCAACTCTGGAAAAATGATTCATAACGTTTGTCTCCAAAATAAAAATGTTGCTAAACAAACTACATGTATCATCCTTTTGTTTTGATTTTCCATGTGAGGTTTAAGAGGGTAAAGTAGCAGTTGCAGAACAGTCTCACTCCAAGTTTGTCTTTTTGTCAATTGTTACAGATACTTTCTTATTTTATTGTCATGTTACAGTGAAGCCATTTGCTCAACTGGCAAAGGTTTCTCTCTTACGTATTTCATGCTCAGTGAGGCTTACAATGTATCAGTCGAATTCCATGTGTTGACTCTGTATGTGGTTTCTTTGATTGGCATTCTAGAAGTTGGGTAGATGAAGAATGAGGACTATTTTTATGGACATACAACTTCTTTATTCTGTATAGGCGATGTTTCGACATAGATTCTGATGTCATTAGAATCTATGTCGAAACGTAGCCTTTACAGAATATAGAAGTTGTATAGCCATAAAAATCGTCCTCATTCTTCTGTATGTGGTTTACCTTGATTGTGCATGAGGCATCTGTGTTGTTTACTGAACACACAGAACATGGTTTGTTGACGACAAACAACGCCTCTGCTGTGCTGGTTTTCATCTGATCATTGCTGACTTTGATCGAGTAGCTCCTGATAGAGTTTACAGGCAGTGTGCACACCAACTCAGAAGCACTGCGATACACAGCCAAACTCACGACTTCTTGACTCCCTCGAGAGGTTATCCCAGTACTGTCAATCTGGAATCAACAAAGCTCACTGTAAAAAGGACAATGTTCTTGTTTCTACAGGAAAGATAGAGAAGTGACAATGAAAACAAGAGAAGGAAAACTTGTCTTACATTATACTGTTTCTTTCCCTTTCCATCTTCTAATTTCCCCTAAGTAAAGCATTATAAACTTGTTATGAAAATTATCATATTTGTTTCAAAACTGATTTCTTTTCAGTTTGTAAGCATCACCAAACTGTGTTGCAAATGGTTATGCATGCTGTTGTAATTTGAGGAATCATTTTTCTAACCTTCTACCCAAGCTGATTTTCTTAAAAGATGTAGATAAAGAAAAGACATAAATTCTTGTTTCAAACATCTATCAGTTTCACTTAATTTAGCCACACATGTTCACTCAGTCATATCACAAACAAAAATATATTAAATATATTATATACTTTATAGTAACTTCAAAACTTGGCCTCTATCCCATTTATGTACTGTAAATCATACTGTAAATCATAACATTATGAGGGGCTTTACTAAATTTGAAAAATGCAAGAGCAACTTGCTTGTATTAATATAATGTCACATTTTTATCTTGACATATTGTCTGATTTATGTTCACAAGATTGCACTAGCAATTGAATCAAAACTTGGAATCTGTATACTCTTTGTTGGTGAGACAATCTTTGTCATTTCAATATGCATTAATTAGAAACTTTCTGCATTGGATTTCATGAAAGTCATTCATGTAAAGATGGCAAAGCAGTAGATATATGGTGATGCAGTAGATATTTATTAGAAGATGTAAAATATATATCATATGTTTAGGGAATATCACCCCATGCTACTTTACGGATTGTTCATCTTGCATTAAACAGTTTTCACAAGAGATATTAATTGTGATGCATTGTGTTCATGATTTACAGTATCTAACAGATATTATGTGTCACCTGTGATTGGCACCAGGTGACAGTATACAGAGTAGAATAGCTCAGCGAGAACACAGAATTACTTTGTGCCATGTTGATAGAGAGTCTGGACCTCGGTATTACATACACATTTACCTGGCTAGCATGGCATATCATTCCCTTCTGCATCTTCAAAAACACAGAGAATTGGCAATTGTTACTGATGACAAACCTCGTCAGAAGAATATAGCAACACATGGCATATAGAAAACATTCCCTTCTGCATCTTCAAAAAACCACAGAGAATTGGCAATTGTTACTGATGACAAACCTCGTCAGAAGAATATAGCAACACATGGCATATAGAAAACATTCCCTTCTGCATCTTCAAAAAAAACACAGAGAATTGGCAATTGTTACTGATGACAAACCTCGTCAGAAGAATATAGCAACACATGGCATATAGAGAACATTCCCTTCTGCATCTTCAAAACCACAGAGAATTGGCAATTGTTACTGATGACAAACCTCTTCAGAAGAATATAGCAACACATGGCATATAGAGAACATTCCTTCTGCATCTTCAAAAACACAGAGAATTGGCAATTGTTACTGATGACAAACCTTCAGAAGAATATAGCAACACATGGCATACAGAAAACATTCCCTTCTGCATCTTCAAAACACAGAGAATTGGCAATTGTTACTGATGACAAACCTCGTCAGAAGAATATAGCAACACATGGCATACAGAAAACATTCCCTTCTGCATCTTCAAAAAAACCACAGAGAATTGGCAATTGTTACTGATGACAAACCTCATCAGAAGAATATAGCAACACATGGCATACAGAAAACATTCCCTTCTGCATCTTAAAAAAACACACAGAGAATTGGCAATTGTTACTGATGACAAACCTCGTCAGAAGAATATAGCAACACATGGCATATAGAAAACATTCCCTTCTGCATCTTCAAAACACAGAGAATTGGCAATTGTTACTGATGACAAACCTGCAGAAGAATATAGCAACACATGGCATACAGAGAAACATTCCCTTCTGCATCTTCAAAACACACAGAGAATTGGCAATTGTTACTGATGACAAACCTCGTCAGAAGAATATAGCAACACATGGCATACAGAAAACATTCCCTTCTGCATCTTCAAAAAAAACACAGAGAATTGGCAATTGTTACTGATGACAAACCTCGTCAGAAGAATATAGCAACACATGGCATACAGAAAACATTCCCTTCTTCATCTTCAAAAAAAACACAGAGAATTGGCAATTGTTACTGATGACAAACCTCGTCAGAAGAATATAGCAACACATGGCATACAGAAAACATTCCCTTCTGCATCTTCAAAAAAAACACAGAGAATTGGCAATTGTTACTGATGACAAACCTCGTCAGAAGAATATAGCAACACATGGCATACAGAAAACATTCCCTTCTGCATCTTCAAAAAACACAGAGAATTGGCAATTGTTACTGATGACAAACCTCGTCAGAAGAATATAGCAACACATGGCATATAGAAAACATTCCCTTCTGCATCTTCAAAAAAAACACAGAGAATTGGCAATTGTTACTGATGACAAACCTCGTCAGAAGAATATAGCAACACATGGCATATAGAAAACATTCCCTTCTGCATCTTCAAAAAAAACACAGAGAATTGGCAATTGTTACTGATGACAAACCTCGTCAGAAGAATATAGCAACACAGGGCATATAGAAAACATTCCTTCTGCATCTTCAAAAAACACCCAGCCAGAAGATATAGCAACACATGGCATGGCATACAGAAAAACATTCCCTTCTGCATCTTCAAAAAAAACCCAGAGAATTGGCAATTGTTACTGATGACAAACCTCGTCAGAAGAATATAGCAACACATGGCATATAGAGAACATTCCCTTCTGCATCTTCAAAAACAACCAGAGAATTGGCAATTGTTACTGATGACAAACCTCGTCAGAAGAATATAGCAGCACATGGCATATAGAAAACATTCCCTTCTGCATCTTCAAAAAAAACACAGAGAATTGGCAATTGTTACTAATGACAAACCTCGTCAGAAGACTATAAAGCATGACTCTGAACATGTGATAAAACATGGGATAGTTTACTCACGTGTGTCATCACATGTGCCATTGCCCGTGCAGTAACCAGGACAGAGGGTTTTCACGACCTGACGTGGAAGTATGGCTGTGTTGTTCTGCTGCTCCCAGGCTCCAGCATTCCTGGAAACAGAACTCAGGCATCTTGTCTGTACATCCTGTAGAGCAGATTCTGACCAATCCTGGTTGTCAGTCAGCTGGAAGTAAACAATGGACAATCACAAGGTTATGTAAATAACATTGGGTTCCTGGTCACAAGATGTTTAGGTGTGATGTTAAAGTCAAGCAGTGTTAAATGGGACAATTTTCAAATAAATGATGAAAGATTTTAATGCAAACATCCCATTATATTTGCCTGAAATGCTGTTTTCATTCTTCATTACAAAGTTATCCAGTATGACAATCTAGAAAAGTAAACAAGGTATTCAACATTGTCCAGATGCTGTTTTTGCTGATCATGTAATTTGATAGCCTTATCAAGACAGATGATAATTCTGAAGTTTATTGTGAAATCAGATATTACGAAGATATTTTCTTTAGATGAGGTGATCCTTTGGTGACATAACAAAGGTTGAATTTGAAAAGAAGATGGATGGAAGATGTAAACGAATATATGTACACTGGCATTCTTTTCAACCATACACTAAATTAAGGTATAACTGCTACTGAAATGTTGCTGAGAGATAAGAAAGCTTCTGTTCAAATGGTCTGTGTACAAAGGTACATGCAGTTGAACCAAGAATATATTATTAACTGAATGATTTACAAAATCAGCCAGCTTGGTTGTAAATGTGCAGGTTGTAAATGCATTGAATGTTAGGAAGCATTCATTTCCAATCATTCAGTTAGGTGTTGAGCTGATGCCATTCAATGAAGCTCAAATAGCCAGTTCCCTCCCACGTGTTTACGCTGCTGGAAATATAGGACAATTGTGAAGTCCTATCTGGTTCATATTTAGATCTGTGCACAAACACTTTCCGGAAGACTACATATGACAAGAAGTATTACTTCAACTTTTCCAATGTCAACTTTCCCATGATATCAGGCAAGGTTCAAGCAGCTCTGGCCTTTGGTGGCTAAGTTTTCGCAACTTTTGAGGAATAGTCAAACATTCTATTTCTATAAAGATAAAAGAGGATCATATGACTTTTTTCCGAAGTTGTTTGATAAGGGTTACATTATAAAAGTTCTTAGTAAAGCCCTTCAGAGTTTTTAGGGTAGATATAGCTAGGATATTTGAAACATTCAACGTAAGAAAAATAAAATGGTTGCCAAATGCTATTATATGTTTTGACTAGTTATATATGTTCTTGTGTTGCATTTAAAATATGTGTCTTTGCTAATGCTTGATTTATTTGAACACCTGGTGCCATTATGATTTGATAATGAATTCATAATCACATGATTCTGATATAGTTTGAATTGTACAATGAAAATTATTTCATGATTATTGGGCATAGTTGCTTTTACTCAGTTGGTATTCAATGTCCCAATGCTAGCTTTTACTGGGAAAGTGTGAGGTATGTTGTGTACACATATACTTATATTAGTTGCATCAAAAAACAGGTTAAGGCTCTTGGAAATGTCCAAACAACACCAGCCACACAATAGTAATATCACATTTGTTATTTTGATCACACAGATATCTCACTTTGATGGTTATTCAACGGACACATCACACCAACATCTCACTTTGATGATAACAGACACATGACACCAACATATCACTTTGATGATAACGTACACATCACACAGATATCTCACTTTGATGGTTATTCAACGGACACATCACACCAACATCTCACTTTGATGATAACAGACACATGACACCAACATATCACTTTGATGATAACGTACACATCACACAGATATCTCACTTTGATGATACTGGACCTATTGTACAGGCATCCCATAATTAACCCTTACTCTGCTGAACACTTAATAAATCTGAATCTGAATTGCATGATCAGGCCTACTGGGGAGATTATCTATGATCTGTAATCCATGAAAGTAAAAGATATTGATGTTGACACATCACCATATCGTCAGTCACAACAGAAATTTGAATACTGTACCCACAAACAATATATAACCTCAACACTATATTGATGATGCTCAGGGAGATGTGGGTTTATTATCATTGTCTTTCTTATGGAATTTTACAATTGGTTATAGTGTCAGAAGTTTGATTTATATATTTTTATACTTACTGGTGGACATCAATTCTGTTTAGTCACATTTGTTCTTGTATGTTTGTTAACGTAGAGAGTTTCATTGAAACTACATGGCATGTAAGTGGGTAGACCTGTGTTGAATGATGAGAAACAGATGTGATGCTTATTGACATATACACTTCACACCAGCTGTTTCCTGATGAATGTTGATACCACCCAATGTTCCTACCTTGATATCTTGGACACACTTTTGTATTTCTACAGTGTAGTTTTGGGGATCAAAGTTTGCACACTCCAACTGAGCTGATCTGACTTTGTTGGTACATAGGGTGCGGGCTTGTTCTTCTGTTGTGCCACTTGCAGTTGGCCAAGTTGCAGTCTACGAACAGACATAAACACACAGTTCAAATGTCATGAATGTTAAATATGCAGTCAGAGAAAGCTAAGTAGCATTATTACACAAGGAGGAGTTTACAATCACATTCACTGGCCTAGAAATAGTTATCTGTCATTCAACAACAATACATGCTGACTCCATGAACGATCTGACAACTCACAGTATTTACCTGAGATACTTAAACAGAATGGAAACTACCCCACAAGTGGAATACCTAAAACGTCCAAAAACATGTCCTGCACTAGACAAGGGCTTTGAGCAGTAAATACTAGTATACACTGTAAAACCTACTTGTGAGTCATGGTAATTGGGGTCATACTGGAACCTACTTGTGAGTCATGGTAATTGGGGTCATACTGGAACCTACTTGTGAGTCATGGATTGGGGTCACTAAAACCTACTTGTGAGTCATGGTTATTGGGGTCATACTAAAACCTACTTGTGAGTCATGGTAATTGGGGTCATACTAAAACCTACTTGTGAGTCATGGTAATTGGGGTCATACTAAAACCTACTTGTGAGTCATGGTTATTGGGGTCATACTAAAACCTACTTGTGAGTCATGGTAATTGGGGTCATACTGAAACCTACTTGTGAGTCATGGTAATTGGGGTCATACTAAAACCTACTTGTGAGTCATGGTAATTGGGGTCATACTGAAACCTACTTGTGAGTCATGGTAATTGGGGTCATACTGAAACCTACTTGTGAGTCATGGTAATTGGGGTCATACTAAAACCTACTTGTGAGTCATGGTAATTGGGGTCATACTAAAACCTACTTGTGAGTCATGGTAATTGGGGTCATACTAAAACCTACTTGTGAGTCATGGTTATTGGGGTCATACTAAAACCTACTTGTGAGTCATGGTAATTGGGGTCATACTAAAACCTACTTGTGAGTCATGGTAATTGGGGTCATACTGAAACCTACTTGTGAGTCATGGTAATTGGGGTCATACTGAAACCTACTTGTGAGTCATGGTAATTGGGGTCATACTAAAACCTACTTGTGAGTCATGGTAATTCGGGTCATACTTGAACCCTGTTGTTTGCCTTTTACGCCTGCCTGTAAACTGTGATAAGGACTGGTCCCGCTGATCCTTCAGTAGTTCTTGAGTGTATTCCACACCTGAAGTGTACAAGACATGACTCTCATACATCTACATGGGTTAGGCCATATCTACAGAAGTCATGGCACACCAGCTACATTACCAGGCAGCTCAATGTCATAGGTAGTCAATTCTTCAGGGATTAAGTCTTCAGGAAATATGTCTGTGTAATGTGGACTCCTTGCTGCGACAGGGAATATAAACTTTGAGGAACATTATCATGTTACTTAACATGACGCTGGCAAATTCCTATCCCATGAAAAATTTAAAACCACATATAATCTAAACACTAATTTTTCTAGATTATTGCAGAGTCATTAGTGCAGTTAAATCCTTCTTTAAAAGCAAACCAATCAATTTAGGAAACATCAACAAAAAAGTAAACCCAATATAACCATATATCTTCAACCTTCTGACAAGACAAAAAACTGGTTGTCAAGTTTATTACAGGTCTTTATTAGAAACAAAAACAAATCGTAATCAACACTGTATGAAATGGAACGTTATATTAGGAAATGAAATTGCAACAGATACTTGGCACAACTATAACCATATTAATAATAATAGTAGATTTGTATTGCGCTTTTCCATACTTGGATATTATGCTCAAAGCGCAGTGACATTTGATCAGAAGAAAGCTTGGCGGAAAAGATGGGTTTTGATAGCTGTTTTGAAGGCAGAACAGGTTTGACACTGGCGAACATCAAGGGGAAGATTGTTCCAGGCAGTGGCTGCAGCATATGAGAATTGCTTCAGTTTTCTCAGCGTTCAGCTGTAGCTTATTGTTGGTCATCCAAAGTTTGATTTCTTCACAACAATCGGATGTTCGGGAGATAGCCATGGCAGCTGCAGAAGGACTTGGTGTGAAAAGATTCCCTTTCGTTGTACAAAAGATACAGATCTCCAATGGTTTCAATACAAACTGCTTCATCATATTTTGCCAACGAATAGTAGACTTTTTAGAACGAAATATATCGACCATAACCAATGTAGCTATTGCTGAAATTCTATAGAAACAACGTCCCACTTCTTTCTGATTGTAGCAAGGTTACCCATATATGGCATATTGGCTAAATGACAAACTGGATTTAAATTTGAATTTCACAAGACAACAAATTCTTCTTGGATTCCATCATAAACATAATGACCCAATTAATGTGATCCTCATCCTTTTCAAAACTATTATTTTTAATTGTAAAACATCTGGTAATATGCCAACATTTCAGTTCATGTTGAAAAGGCTTACTCAATATTACAATTTAACCAAATATGCAGCTACGTCAAGTTCCAGAATCGAGGCTTCTTACAAATTCTGGTTTGCATGTCACAACCTGTTCAACGACTGATTTATTTTGCATTGTCATTGCTTCATGCTCTGTATAACCAAACTTGACTTAACCCCTTGATCTCTAGCCTGCATGTTGGAGCCCATGTGTAACTGTAATAATGGTATGAAAAATAACAAAATTATAAAAAAAACTGTTGAGGAGGCAGAACAAGATAAAAAAAAATGTTACCTAACATTCATATAGTCTTTCACAGTATTTCATAATTCAGTTTTTAGAAGATAAAATGTAAATGTTTGTACAATCTTCAAATGAAATCATGCTCCCCAGGGTGATACAGAATTCCACTGGACATGCACAACAGGCTGGGCTAAAGTAGAAAGTGTTCTTGTAATCTGTAAATTTTGGGCTAGAATAGAGAATCAAAATTCCCATTACAAAATACAACATCTATGGTAGAGAGTAATCAGTGTTGGCTATCTACTAAAACACAGTGTTCTCATGCCTGAATCTGATCCCCTCGGTGGTGATACATATTGATCTGTTTGTTTGTTGCTTCATGCCATTTTCAGGCATATTCAACCTGTATGTGATGGCTTTCTCCAGATAATCCCGTCAGGATCCGACAGTCTTTGTTTGACATCATGAGCATCAAATATACACAACTGCCATGCCATCACAGGGCTTCAATACTTTACCATAGATATGTTCAAAAGTCATTATTAGATTCAGGCCAATAACTCTCAACTTGACTGGTTACAAGTAGCTGCAGATTGCAGAGGGTCTCATTTGAAGCATACAGAATGTTTGAATATGATTGAATATTCGCTTTTCTCACCTGTTGAAATACTACACTCATCAATGTTCTGGGAATATCCGCACAACTTTTCTCCTCCCTCAGAACAAGAACAGTAAATACTGGATGTAAAGTCCTCAGATCCTTCATAACCAACATCATAGTAGCTGCCTGCAGAGACCCTGTGAATGGCAAAACACTTCAGTTTCCTTGTGTACAGTGAATAACAATACATTGCCATGTCCTATGCCTGTATTTTATGTTTGTGAAGATATTAAGAAGATTAAAGCTTCACAGTTTGACTGACTGTTTATCAGGTGAGGTGAAATTGGGTTTAACGTCGTACTTGAGAATATTTCGCTCATAAGACGACGTGCATGCGTGTGTATGTATGTGCGGCTGCTTGTACTAGCCCAGACTGAAGCTGGTTTTATAGTGCTAGCCCACTGAGATACCATGCGGCAGTGAAGCATGAATACCCCACTCAGACACATTATACTGACTCCGAGCCAACCAGTGCTTGTTGTACCCATTAATGCTGAGCGCCAGACAGGGACCAACAAGTACCATATTTTAACGTCTTTTGGTATGACGCAGTCGGGGATCGAACCCGCGACCTTCCGCTCTCCCGGACTGTTTATGAAGTCTCTCCTGATTATGATCCAAGTACCTGGTATCTTGTGTACTGAAATCAAGTATCCCTTTACAATTGCTATTTCTGAGTCGGTTTGTTCAAACAAAGATCTTATGAATGTCAATTAAACTGTTTTCTGTTATCTTCCAAATGATTGTTAAAACACTGATTTCTTTCTTTCGAATGAACATATAAAGTTCAGGGCAAAAACGGTGAACCTCTACTGAACTGGTTATATTTAGAATTGAGAGTTGATAATATACTGTAGTTCAGGTTATTTAGGAGATAAACCTAGTGTGTTTGAAAATCAGAGACATGCTTTACTGAATTGATGGCGACTAAATTTCAATTGGAACCGAACGCGTAGCGTGAGGTTTCAATTGAAATATTTAGTCGCCATCAATTCAGTAAAGCATGTCTCTGATTTTCAAACACACTACGGTTATCTCCATTCTACCATGACACATTTAAAATCGAACTTCCTCGCTTCTGCGGAAGACACTGCGTAATCCGCATGGGACTAGAGGCTTAATTGAACTCGTCTGTGAAGGGAGCGGTAGGTGCCGTTCAGTATTTTTTAACATTACATCATAACAATATTCTGTCCAAAGAAATCAAACTACTGTTTATTCAATGCAATTATGTAATACCCGAGATCTTGTTGTTTTTTTCATCCCAACTCCACACGACTAAAACCAGCCTATTGTTTTGTTTGCCGTGAAACTGTACCCCTGGCTACACTATAATGGAATCGTCTGACCTACTTATTTTCTTCGGTAGACAGTTACGCAACAGTTTGAAATGGCGCCGAGCCAGTGTTTACATTTTGCTAAAGGTTGAAATTTGAAGTGACAGTGGACAATATTTGACTGACTGTCGAACCTGAACCCTGCAGAATCGAAGAATAGATCCTTTCCTGATCAACCTACGACCTGTAACTCATCAAAGACTGTTGATTTTTATGACCGCCGATTATGATTTCACGCACTGCCTCATCCCCTCGCATGCGACACCCCAAAAGAGTGACAGTGTTGCTGCTTAGTGTACATGCGATTAACTTGTGATTCCTTGGAACTTTGTTTTCATCGCTTGGGACTGGACTGTGTCCAAGCCGTTTTTCAAAGTAGATGAACATAACAGTGACAACCTTGCGGGAAGCTGGCAAAGAGCAGAATTATTTTGTGAACGATGCAACGGATATGATGGAGTATGACTATGAGTGGCATAAATGTGATGTTTTCGCCAGACCGTTAGATCTATCTTGCAAATTTCCCATTCTAAACAGAATTAAATATACCATTTACCAGGTAGGTAAGTGTTTACTAATGTTTTGCTGCATATTTTGTATAGACAGGGATGTATTTTACAAGGCTTTCTGATTTATATGTTACATATTGTTTTGTTTATGTTTGGGGCTGTGTATTGTAATTGAGTTTGAATATTTTTATAAAAGAAGGTAATATGATCGTGAGGTTCCCTCATAATTGTGTGTGTGTGTGTGTGTTGGGGAGGGGGATCATATAATTGTATTTTTCGAAGTTTAAATAAATGTTTTATCAGCATTTCCATCACGTCTGTTGTGTTGATATTAGTCATGTTGGTGGTCAAGCTGAAGTAGTGCGGCAGTGTTCTATACGTGCGCAGTGAAGCGCAATGAAATCAAACGCATTTTTAATCCAAAAATTTCCAATTGCCTATGTGGAATATTCGAAGGCAGCGTAAAAATCCATGGTGTTGTTGTTATGATCCGCCATCATTATGGTCAAACGGAAGTAGTTCTCACAATAATATTTGTCAATGCGTGGTGAAGCGGCTTTACAATTGATGCCGTCTGATTTTTCTGAACAACCAATCAGAATCTAGTATTTTCTTGATTCATGGTAGAATTGTTAAATAACAAGTGTAAAAGAAAATGAACAACATCCAAGATTCAGGGTGTCACATTTTATTCTACCATGAATCAAGAAAATACTAGATTCTGATTGGTTGTTCAGAAAAATCAGACGGCATCAATTGTGGATTGAAAACAAAGTTCCAAGGAATCACAAGTTAGTCGCATGTACACTAAGCAGCAACACTGTCACTCTTTTGGGGTGTCGCATGCCGGGGATGAGGCAGTACGTGAAATCATAATCGGCCGGTCATAAAAATCAACAGTCTTTGATGAGTTACAGGTCGTAGGTTGATCAGGAAAGGATCTATTCTTCGATTCTGCAGGGTTCAGGTTCGACAGTCAGTCAAATATTGTCCACTGTCACTTCAAATTTCAACCTTTCGCAAAATGTAAACACTGGCTCGGCCGCCATTTCAAACTGTTGCGTAACTGTCTACTTCGAAGAAAATAAGTAGGTCAAGCGATTCCATTATAGTGTAGCCAGGGGGTACAGTTTCACGGCAAAACAAAACAATAGGCTGGTTTTAGTCGTGGGTGGAGTTGGGATGAAAAACAACAAGATCTCGGTATTACATAATTGCATTGAATAAACAGTAGTTTGATTTCTTTGGACAGAATATTGTTATGATGTAATGTTAAAAAATACTGAACGGCACCTACCGCTCCCTTCACAGACGAAGTTCAATTCGCCTCTCGTCCCATGCCGGATTACGCAGTGTCTTCCCGCAGAGGCGAGGAAGTTCGATTTTAAATGTGTCATGGTAGAATGGAGATAACCCTAGTGTGTTTGAAAATCAGAGACATGCTTTACTGAATTGATGGCGACTAAATATTTCAATTGAAACCTCACGCTACGCGTTCGGTTCCAATTGAAATTCAGTAAAGCATGTCTCTGATTTTCAAACACACTAGGTTTATCTCCTAATTATCGGGTTCCTAAGCTTGCATTATTTTGTGTCGCATTTTAGACTAGACCCTCGCACTCGCATTAAATTCGTGACGCATTATTTTCATGATTTACAGTATAGAAACTGTTTGGTCTCGTTTGGTTGCCCTTTGTCAGAGTGACCTTTTAGAAACAGCTTTCATCACTTCAGTCTTGTCACTTCTGTGACTGACTGACTGACTGAGTTTGGTTTTACGCCGCTTTTAGCAATATTCCAGCAACATCACGGCAGGGGACACCAGAAATGGGCTTCACACAGTGTACCCATGTGGGGATTCAAACCCGGGTCTCCGGCGTGACGAGCCAACGCTTTAACCACTAGGCTACCCCACTGCCCTGCACTTCTGTGACAACAATAGAAAGATAGACAAGCATTGTTTTATATAGAGTGGCCTGGCTTGAAGTGAGTGAGTGAGTGATTGAGTTTAGTTTTACGCTGCACTTTGCAATATTCCAGCTATATGGCGGCGGTCTGAAAATAATCGAGTCTGGACCAGACAATCCAGTGATCAACAGCATTAGCATCTATCGGCGTAATTGCGAAACGATGACATGTGTCAACCAAGCCAGCGAGACTGACCAACCGATCCAGTTAGTCGCCTCTTACGACAAGCATGGGTTACTGAAGGTTCTTTCTAGCCTGGACATTCACAGGTCGCCTGGCTTGAAGAAGAACATTGGTAGAGTATTAAAATAAAGTTGTTAAACTGTTTGACATGTGTGTGTCAGAGGTTAGACAACTGAAATACCTATAACACATGTAATACTAGATTCTATGTATAACTGTGTGTGAAGTGAATACTAGCGCCTGAGAATGCATTGGGGATGTAGAATCATCAGCTAACCTCCAAGACTTGGCGAAGTCTAGTGGTTCATTACTGATGCCTGTTATGCTGTACACAGTTGTATTCTTGTCTGTTAAGTCATTCGTTTTGTCACCATCATATATGCCACAGAGACCTATAACAGAGAATAATTGCGTTGCTTGCATCTGACTGCAAATTTACAAAGTAGTATGATAGCACTGTAGTTGAGCTGGACCCAGACACAGGAAACTGACAACAAAGGCATCTCCTGGAAGCATGAACATTCAAACATGTTTATAATAAACAGAGATGACTAACCAACAAACAAGAACAGGAACTGAATGTTCCACTGATCTGCAAAAACAATCTCCATTGTTTTCAACGAGTAACAATTTTGTTATGATGTTAATCATACTGCTACTTACTATGAAGTCACCAAAGTTGAATGCCAATCATAATGCTTTGAATGTTATAATGCTTGGACATCTTTGTGAAATATCAAGTTTTGAATATGTAAAAAGATTTTTTAATCCTAATGATTTGAAAAACATTTTATAACAAGAAATGTACATGGTAACGTCAGATTCCTTATTCAGCATTTTGAGTGAACATAAACAAACCATTAAGATCAACACATATACCAAATGTTATTACATTTGAATGGAAGTGTGATGATGTGGGCTGAAATACACACAAGCTGTGATATCTGCTCAACTCAGCGGGATCAGCTAACTATCTGTGATACAGGAAATACAAACAATAACTGGGTACTGAGTTTGCAAGAAGTAAATGCCTACTATACTTTGAAATATCACTTACTAGTACCAGTACGTGAATTCTAAATACCGGCACTACATGTATTTCAATGGAGTAATAACTTCAGTTTTCATTAATACATGCCAAGGACCACGTTCAGTCCACATGTGGGATGCAGATCTGCATAAATGGATCAGTGCTGATGACTTTTTCTATGTTCCCATGTGGTCCACAAGAACACAGGGTGAAGAGGAGCACACCAACATATGTTATATTTGGGATTACACTTTTACACAGGTAAATTGGCACGTCAATCACGGCTGAAAGCTATGAATACACAATGCCATTTAACACATGTTATATTTGGGATGGGTGTGCTGGCTATTAGGTGCATTGTGTATTTTCTGTGACAGAGGTCTCTCTTAACATGTGACAGGACCAGCATGTGCACATGAGACAGGTCAACTGCAAGACTAAGTCAACAAAAAAAATGTAAATTCTAACATAAGGATTAACAAAATCTTCATAACTAGTAACAAAAAAGGTTGCGCACACAAGTCTTAAGCTTACCTTGTGAGAGCGTCCAATGACCCAAGCTGAAGGCTCCACCCACACATTCATGAATATGTCTGCTAGTGTTGAAACAGTCACCTTTGAGCCACATGGTAACAGAATCTGAAACCAGCATGCACTGCTTGATAAGTGAACCACCATATGACCACACATAGTAAACTGTCTGTATGACCACACATACCTGAACTGTCTGTATGACCACACATACTGAACTGTCTGTATGACCACACATAGTCTCAACTGTCTGTATGGCCACACATACTGAACTGTCTGTATGACCACACATAGTCAACTGTGTGTATGACCACACATACTGAACTGTCTGTATGACCACACATAGTCAACTGTCTGTATGACCATACATACTGAACTGTCTGTATGACCACACATAGTCAACTGTCTGTATGACCACACATACTGAACTGTCTGTATGACCATACATACTGAACTGTCTGTATGACCACACATACTCAACTGTGTGTATGACCACACATACTGAACTGTCTGTATGACCACACATAGTCAACTGTCTGTATGACCACACATAGTCAACTGTCTGTATGACCACACATACTGAACTGTCTGTATGACCACACAGTCAGCTGTCTGTATGACCACACATACTGAACTGTCTGTATGACCACACATACTGAACTGTCTGTATGACCACACATACTGAACTGACTGTATGACTACACATAGTCAATTGCAACTGTGTGTATGACCACACATACTGAACTGTCTGTATGACCACACATAGTCAACTGTGTGTATGACCACACATACTGAACTGTCTGTATGACCACACATAGTCAGCTGTCTGTATGACCACACATAGTCAACTGTCTGTATGACCACACATACTGAACTGTCTGTATGACCACACATACTGAACTCTCTGTATGACCACAGTCAACTGTCTGTATGACCACACATACTGAACTGTCTGTATGACCACACATACTCAACTGTGTGTATGACCACACATACTGAACTGTCTGTATGACCACACCTTGTGTACTGTCTGTATGACCACACCTTGTGTATTGTCTCTATGACCACACCTTGTGTACTGTCTGTATGACCACACCTTGTGTACTGTCTGTATGACCACACCTTGTGTACTGTCTGTATGACCTCACCTTGTGTACTGTCTGTATGACCACACCTTGTGTACTGTCTGTATGACCACACCTTGTGTACTGTCTGTATGACCTCACCTTGTGTACTGTCTGTATGTGAACAGTGAACTGTGACGTCAACTTTGACCTGTATCTTCACCATGTACTTACCCTATACGTATTGCCTTCCTCCTCCTGGTAGATTTTGGTTCTAGGTGTGAGTGATTTCCTGAAATATTGCTTTACTTTGAGAGGCAGTTTCTCTGTAGTGTTTGTCGGGACTATGTCACACTTATTGATCTGTATGACATCATTACCACTGCGGATAGATGTGCCACACACCCCGCTGCCAAGACCGACTCGTCTCATGTAAATGCGAACCTGTTCCAATACATCATGATATTCATTAAACACTTCTCTGTGTGATATTCATCAAACAATTTTTCTTTGAGTAAATATATTTTCTGTAGCACGTAGTTACAACATACACATGGGCGCTGCTTTGCTATATACACTTAGTCCCTTGACTTAAAAATATTGTCAGTGAAGTTGTTCACCTACCTCTGTCTCCAGCTCTGTGTGTCTGTACATGATAAACTCTCCTTCAAGCATCACGTCATAGTGCCTGTAGAAACAACACCCATCTAAACCACAATGTCCAAACTCTACTAACCTAAACAAGAAAGTTCAGAAAGTTGCAAGCACTCCATGTTTACTGACATCATGCAGATTGTTTAGTACTTGTCTTAATACTATGCTGCCACTTAAAGACACAATGTCCCGCTAGTTTCAGTAACTGCCACTGCTGCTTTAATCACCCTCACAATTTCTAAATAACAACTTTTTGGTTTTGTTATGATACTTCTGCATAGATCCATATACCACTGACAAGCAAGAGCTTGAGGTTTCTAAATATAACATATTTTAGTTTGATGAACCAAAATCACCTCTTTTATTTGTAATAACATCAACTCCAAACAAACAAACCAAACAGCCTCTTAACATTAACTGACAAATGTAGTTGTCTTAGTTTTTATACATACCAGCAAATGGGCAGCATGCCAGATATATATCAACATAAATTGGTTCCTAAAATAGCACCTGCATTTCTGGGAACAAGAGGTGCAATGTGGGAACATGAGGTGCAATGTGGGAACATGAGGTGCAATGTGGGAACATGAGGTGAAATGTGGAACATGAGGTGCAATGTGGAACATGATGTGCAATGTGGGAACAAGAGGTGCAATGTGGAACATGATGTGCAATGTGGGAACATGAGGTGCAATGTGGGAACAAGAGGTGCAATGTGGAACATGAGTTGCAATGTGGAACATGATGTGCAATGTGGGAACAAGAGGTGCAATGTGGAACATGATGTGCAATGTAAGAACAAGAGGTGCAATGTGGGAACAAGAGCTGCAATGTGGAAAATGAGTTGCAATGTGAGAACATGGGGTGCAATGTGGGAACAAGAGCTGCAATGCGGGAACATGAGGTGCAATGTGGGAACATGAGGTGCAATGTGGAACATGATGTGCAATGTTGGAACAAGATGTGCAATGGGGAACATGTAGTGCAATGTGGAACATGATGTGCAATGTGGGAACAAGAGGTGCAATGTCGGAACATGAGGTGCAATGTGGGAACAAGCCATGCAATGTGGGAACAAGAGGTGCAATGTGGGAACATGAGGTGCAATGTGGGAACATGAGGTGCAATGTCGGAAAATGAGGTGCAATGTGGGAACAAGATGTGCAATGTGGAACATGAGGTGCAATTTGGAACATGAGGTGCAATGTGGGAACAAGATGTGCAATGTGGGAAAATGAGGTGCATTGTGGGAACATGAGGTGAAATGTGGGAACAAGAGGTGCAATGTGGAACATGAGGTGCAATGTGGGAACATGAGGTGAAATGTGGGAACAAGAGGTGCAATGTGGAACATGAGGTGCAAATTGGAACATGAGGTCCTAGGTTGAAACAACCATGACATGCTCTGTCACAGGCTGTCAAAATCTAATCTAATATACAGGTCACTGTGATATTGTTCAACATATATTCATTAACTGGAGGTACAATTGTGTGTTTTACCACTCACTGACCACTGGTACTGATGATAGTGGCAGATTTACTTACAGGAGATCAAATGTTGTCAGGTGAGGATCTGCTGTTGCTCCACAGAGTGCATTCTCCATGTCCCTGTCGATGATTGTAATCTGCCACAATCAAAGTGGTGGGAGATATATTATTTGAAAAACAAAATAACAGTTACTATGGCAATATCACTCAATGTATGTCATATGAGTTTATATAGCCTGTGGACAAATTTGACTTTCAAGCTGACATTTATTATCAGTTCAAATGAATGTATTATTTTATTTAAACTGTTTTGAATTTCCCTGATCATGTTATAATACATATATAATTAATGTATAAATTATATGAATAGAGCAATGATAGAATACAAAATATGCCAAGCAATTACATGTTACATACATGCATTGGATAATGTCTAGGTCCTGAAATGTTAAATTGTCATATGACTCCGACTTTCTGGAAATACATACAACATGATTGACAAGGCACACTTTACCTCTTCATGTAGTCAGTAATCAAAGTTGATGTAATAATAAAGCTCTATAACAAACCTCTAGTGCTTTTATCAGCGTAATGTTGTCTCTTGACCCAACTCGATCTCTCTGATAGATGTTCACGGTTACATTTGTGTCTTGTGCATGGGATATGCGATCCAGGACAGAGTGTAGGCTGATACTTGCTGTGGTGACTGACATCCTGGCACCACAAACAGCATTCTCTACACTAAAGCCAGCAGACTTTATAACCAGTGGGTCAATAGTACGCTGAGACCCAACACACTTCCTACTGTTCATGGCCACAACTGCTGCCTCAGCATACACACTGCATGCTTCACCATACATGAGGGGGCAGTACATGTCTGGCCTGATGCCCATATCCACTCCAATGTCAACAGATAATCCTTCAATGAGCTGCATGGAGCCTGGTGTAGTCACCTGGACAGACAGACAGAACAAGGTCAAAGTACTAAATGCACTGCAATTATGTGTGCACAGGTACCAGGGGTTGTGACAACCAGGCAGTAGGGACTTTGCATGTGTGTGCCTACCAGTCATAGGTGTTATTGTGATTGGCAAAGAGGTAGCAAATGTTTTATCAGATGACATAAATGGTGACATTGAAGCTTTAATAAAGCAACTATATCAGTAAACTGATGTCTCTGGAAATACACTCAGCATACCACTGGATACCCCCTGTTGTAAACTTTATACTCTTACAATGACAGAGCATAAAATATATCTTCAATGTTCATGTACTTACAGAATGTGTTACACTGTTGTATTACCTAGAACATGGTGGGTGTTGTCTACACTGTTATACTAATACAAACATGGAGGGTATCTTCCATACTGTTGTACTGTGACCTTTTTGTGTCAACATATAATGTAGGTCATCCCCTAATGTAATCTTTCTGCCATGTTAATACACAGCTGAGTACGACATAGAGGGTATCTTCTACACTGCTGTACTGAGTAGGGCATAGAGGGTATCTTTGACACTGCTGTACTGAGTACAACATAGAGGGTATCTTCTACACTGCTCTAATGAGTACGACATAGAGGGTATCTTCTACACTGCTGTACTGAGTAGGGCAGAGAGGGTATCTTTGACACTGCTGTACTGAGTAGGACATTGAGGGTATCTTTGACAACTGTTCTACTGAGTAGGACAATAGAGGGTATCTTTGATACTGCTGTACTGAGTAGGGCATAGAGGGTATCTTTGACACTGCTGTACTGAGTAGGGCATAGAGGGTATCTTTGAAACTGCTGTACTGAGTAGGGCATAGAGGGTATCTTTAACACTGCTTTACTGAGTAGGGCATAGAGGGTATCTTTGACAACTGCTGTACTGAGTAGGGCATAGAGGGTATCTTTGAAACTGCTGTACTGAGTAGGAAATAGAGGGTATCTTTGAAACTGCTGTACTGAGTAGGACATAGAGGGTATCTTTGACACTGCTTTACTGAGTAGGGCATAGAGGGTATCTTTGACAACTGTTGTACTGAGTAGGACATAGAGGGTATCTTTGAAACTGCTGTACTGAGTAGGACATAGAGGGTATCTTTGACACTGCTTTACTGAGTAGGGCATAGAGGGTATCTTTGACAACTGTTGTACTGAGTAGGACATAGAGGGTATCTTCTACACTTCTTTGATTGGCATTCTAGAAGTTGGGTAGATGAAGAATGAGGACTATTTTTATGGATATACAACTTCTTTATTCTTTATAGGCGACGTTTCGACATAGATTCTAATGTCGTTGTCAAGCAAGTGGTACATGGGAAGTATTTTGGGTGATATATATATTGGTGAAACATCAAGACCAGTCACCATTAGGATCAAAGAACACCAGGCCTCAGTAAGAAACAAAGACTCTAAGTCTGCCATAACCGACCACCTTAAAGCCAACCCAAACCACAACATCAGTTGGAACACCACCAAAGTCATCGAAAGGAACCAGCCTGATTTCAAGTAAACCATAAATAATCACCTTGAACTGGAAATGATAGTACTGTTCACTTGTCAGTTCTGAGCTCTGACAGTTACTGATGGATGCTGTGGCATTGCAGCCAATCTGAAACAAACAAACACTGTATAATTCAGTATCAACAAAGGAACAAGAAAACACTGACATACAGAGGCATCACTTCACCTGAATGCAATCTTCTGTTATTCACAATTAATATTTCTGTCATCTAATATTGATTTCTATGGGACCTCTGCACAATAAGCACAATATTTCCCCTTTCTGTTCACATCAATGAAAGTCCTGAAAAGCCTTGCCAAAACATAAAGGTTCTTTCTTTTCAGGACGCATACTGATTTCAGATAATATTATTAATGGATTTATATTTAATACCTATGTACTAACATAAAAGACAAGTCACCAACAAATACAGCCCTGGTAGCCTATTCAGTCAAACAAAGTTAAATATTGTGATCAGGTAATATACTGAAAAGGTAAGTACCGCTCACTCACCATCCTTCATAGTCAAACATGTCAATTGTGTTGACATATTGAGGTCACCAATGCTGTGTATTAACCTACATGTTGACATATTGAGGTCACCAATGCTGTGTATTAACCTATGTGTTGACATATTGAGGTCACCAATGCTGTGTATTAACCTATGTGTTGACAGAAGTGGGGTCACCAATGCTGTGTATTAACCTACGTGTTGATATATTGAGGTCACCAATGCTGTGTATTAACCTACGTGTTGACATATTGAGGTCACCAATGCTGTGTATTAACCTGTGTTGACATATTGAGGTCACTGATGCTGTGTATTAACCTACGTGTTGACATAGTGGGGTCACTGATGCTGTGTATTAACCTATGTGTTGACATATTGAGGTCACCAATGCTGTGTATTAACCTGTGTTGACATATTGAGGTCACCAATGCTGTGTATTAACCTATGTGTTGACATAGTTGGGTCACCAATGCTGTGTATTAACCTATGTGTTGACATATTGAGGTCACCAATGCTGTGTATTAACCTACGTGTTGAAATAGTGGGGTCACTGATGCTGTGTATTAACCTATGTGTTGACATAGTGGGGTCACCAATTCTGTGTATTAACCTACATGTTGACATAGTGGGGTCACCAATGCTCTGTATTAACCTATGTGTTGACATATTAAGGTCACCAATGCTGTGTATTAACCTGTGTGTTGACATATTGAGGTCACCAATGCTGTGTATTAACCTACGTGTTGAAATAGTGGGGTCACTGATGCTGTGTATTAACCTATGTGTTGACATAGTGGGGTCACCAATTCTGTGTATTAACCTACATGTTGACATAGTGGGGTCACCAATGCTCTGTATTAACCTATGTGTTGACATATTGAGGTCACCAATGCTGTGTATTAACCTGTGTTGACATATTGAGGTCACCAATGCTGTGTATTAACCTACGTGTTGACATATTGAGGTCACCAATGCTGTGTATTAACCTATGTGTTGACAGAAGTGGGGTCACCAAGGCTGTGTATTAACCTACGTGTTGACATATTGAGGTCACCAATGCTGTGTATTAACCTACGTGTTGACATATTGAGGTCACCAATGCTGTGTATTAACCTGTGTTGACATATTGAGGTCACTGATGCTGTGTATTAACCTACGTGTTGACATAGTGGGGTCACTGATGCTGTGTATTAACCTATGTGTTGACATAGTGGGGTCACTGATGCTGTGTATTAACCTACGTGTTGACATAGTGGGGTCACTGATGCTGTGTATTAACCTACATGTTGACATAGTGGGGTCACTGATGCTGTGTATTAACCTACATGTTGACATAGTGGGGTCACCAATGCTGTGTATTAACATGGCAGAAAGATTACATTAGGGGATGACCTACATTATATGTTGACACAAAAAGGTCACTTACCCCTTTAGCTAAGACGTTGTTTCGCTCTTCATTGCTGAGAGATGAGGAGTCCAATTGGGCATAAAATCTGTCATTAAGTTCATCGGTCTTTAATATTGTGCTTCCTACCACCCATTTGACTGTATAGGTGACCCCTGTGTCAGCAACCTTTTGCACTCGACAGGAAAAGGTGACTTTGGTCATTGAGGAACTGTATGTCAAAGTTGGACGTTGGGTCATTTGCAGGTTACTGGCAGCACCTGGAAAGAAAGCAAATTCACTTTAGGATGTGTTTGACTTTATGCATGAACTTGGTAACTTGTCATCAGTACCTTGCATGAAAGGTCACATATTTCATAAAATAATGAGAATGAGTATAGCATTCTTTCAAGAATTCTCACAGACATTTCATTCTTTAAAAAGAGTACCATTCTTCATTAGATGGTGTAATGTGTGGAATATGTGTGAACTCTGATGTAGAGGAACTGAGAACACAAACGGAATCCAAGTCAAACACACTGTGCATACTCTCTCATTTGCCAACAAAATGTTCAGTAAATTCCTGCAGTGTTTCCACCTCTAACCTGCACATGATGGAACTGATGTTGATGTGATCACTGAGGATGTCGACTGCGGCGGCAATGCACTGGGAGAAGCTGTAGCGACAGCAGATGTCGGGCTGGGAGAAAGAGAAGTGTCAGCTCCACTTGAGGTATGGGTGTCCACATCTACACAGATATCATCAATTCATTACTTACAAATGGGCATGATTACACAATGCCATTTAGATGGGTATTTTGTTACTCTCTCTACACATGGTAAGTAGATTAATGATCTGCTTCTTTTTTCCAATGAAAGAATTCAAATTGTAGCACTTTAGGTCAGTTACTTTGTTACCAATTTGTCCCTGTTCATGCACCAACAACTATGGCTACCTTCAAAATGAAAGCAAACCCCCTGGCACTTTAGTTGCATCACATCAGGTCAGACATCACTCACTTACTTGATACACCTGCTGATTGTGACTTTCCTTAAACATGGATACCATTTTAATATAAAGTGAACCTCTTCCCATTCCCAATAAAAGTGTTCAAACTGAAATATTTAGAACCAATGCAAAGTAGAAAATGCAAGCCGTTGAAATATGCAGATCAACACATAACATGTAAAGCAACACCACACAGAGATGCAGTCAAACAACCAGAAACATTTACAGAGTCCAGAATAATCTCAAACTTACAAACTTGGCCAGTGACATATAATACCCCAGAGTCACTATTAATATTCAGTTTGTTAGCAAACTTGGAGCTCTTTAACACAAAACAAATAGTTCACATGGTATGAATGGTTTGTTCACATCAAGTTTCAATGGTTTGTTCAAGCAGCCGACTTCAGGAAACATGAATGTATTCTCAAATAATGAATTTTTGCAATGTGTCAGTAGAGTTAATGTTTCTTTCTTTGTTCTGTAACGCCACACTCAGCAATACACCAACTATATGGTGACAGTGTATGAAAGGTAAGTCTGAACCACACAATCCAGTGATCAACAGCAATGAGATAGAAACAATTACTTGCAACTAATTATCAGAAATCTGCCACAACCATATTACAATTTTATTCTGGTCATGCATTTACATCCACACATATTCTCATTTCCAGTTTACAGCCTACAGAATAGAAAGGCATTTCGCTCACACTAACTGCACCTTTCTTGCAATTTTCACCTGCCAGTTCTTAATTTGGGAACTTCAAACATTTAATTTATTTACATCAATATAATTACTTCCAGAGATCATGTGCTATACTCAAAACTCTGACACTGGTAACTAATTAGTAGGAAGCTACAATGTATTACCATCTGACATACCTGCTGTGCTTGTGGGAGTTGTTGAAATTATTGTTGATACTTGTGTGCTGGGTGTTGTTGAAACATCAGAACTACTCCTTGTATTACTGGGAGAAATTACTATCTGAGTGTTTGTTGTGTCAATGCTGGAAGAAGTAACTGTTGGTGCTTGGGCGCTCATTGCTGCAGTGCTGGAGGAACTTGTTATGTCTGAAGAGGGATTTGTCTGAGCCCTGGTTGGGGTCACACTCAAAGACAGCTGTGAGCTATGACTGGATGATAGCGTCAGATCTGAGATATGGTAGAGGAAGGTACTTCACAATATGACTTTATGGCTACATATATAGTATCTGTCTGACTGACCGCCTGAGTTTGGTTTTACGCCGCTTTTAGCAATATTCCAGCAACATCACGGCGGGGGACACCAGAAATGGGCTTCACACATTGTACCCATGTGGGGATTCGAACCCGGGTCTTCGGCATGACGAGCCAACGCTTTAACCACTAGGCTACCCCACCGCCCTATAGTATCTGTGCTGTATTAGGATATATAGAGTGTGTAATGAGCTACAAGGTGCAACACTATCATTTAGTAACTTATACAGGTGCATATATTTCAGTTACCAGTCATTGGGGCATTTAGGAAGTTACAGTACTTGGTAAATGATACTTATACATTGTCAACATCAGGCAACACATGAACACATATACACTGATGAATTCTGTTTTACTTATGAATGATTTTCCTTTGGTCCTGTGTAAAGAGCAGATGGCACAATCAGGTAACAATAGGCAACAATGACAACAGAAAGTAGATAGAAGAGTGATAATATTCAGTTTGTTAGCAAACTTGGAGCTCTTTAACACAAAACAAATAGTTCACATGGTATGAATGGTTTGTTCACATCAAGTTTCAATGGTTTGTTCAAGCAGCCGACTTCAGGAAACATGAATGTATTCTCAAATAATGAATTTTTGCAATGTGTCAGTAGAGTTAATGTTTCTTTCTTTGTTCTGTAACGCCACACTCAGCAATACACCAACTATATGGTGACAGTGTATGAAAGGTAAGTCTGAACCACACAATCCAGTGATCAACAGCAATGAGATAGAAACAATTACTTGCAACTAATTATCAGAAATCTGCCACAACCATATTACAATTTTATTCTGGTCATGCATTTACATCCACACATATTCTCATTTCCAGTTTACAGCCTACAGAATAGAAAGGCATTTCGCTCACACTAACTGCACCTTTCTTGCAATTTTCACCTGCCAGTTCTTAATTTGGAAACTTCAAACATTTAATTTACTTACATCAATATAATTACTTCCAGAGATCATGTGCTATACTCAAAACTCTGACACTGGTAACTAATTAGTAGGAAGCTACAATGTATTACCATCTGACATACCTGCTGTGCTTGTGGGAATTGTTGAAATTATTGTTGATACTTGTGTGCTGGGTGTTGTTGAAACATCAGAACTACTCCTTGTATTACTGGGAGAAGTTACTGTCTGAGTGTTTGTTGTGTCAATGCTGGAAGAAGTAACTGTTGGTGCCTGGGTGCTCATTGCTGCAGTGCTGGAGGAACTTGTTATGTCCGAAGAGGGATTTGTCTGAGCCATGGTTGGGGTCACACTCAAAGACAGCTGTGAGCTATGACTGGATGATAGCGTCAGATCTGAGATATGGCAGAGGAAGGTACTTCACAATATGACTTTATGGCTACATATATAGTATCTGTGCTGTATTAGGATATATAGAGTGTGTAATGAGCTACAAGGTGCAACACTATTGTTTAGTTACCTATACAGGTGCATATATTTCAGTTACCGGTCATTGGGGCATTTAGGAAGTTACAGTACTTGGTAAATGATACTTATACATTGTCAACATCAGGCAACACATGAACACATACACACTCCTAGGTAAAGTGCTGATGTCACAATCAGGTAACAATAGGCAACAATAATAACAGGGAGCACCTTTAGAATACAGCACCACAACTTCTCTTGAGGATGTTCTCTGCTGTAGGTCAAGTGTTACTAAGACAAGCAACCAGTTTGTGAGAATCTGTCAGATGCGAACCTGCGACCTTCGGATTGTTAGCCCGACAGCTAACCGACTGAGCTACGTCCACACTGTTACACATTGTGCAAATTTATCGAGTCATTTCTGTGACATCACGGAAAAGAACGGAAAGCATCGAATAGGTCACAGACAATTACGAAGGTTATGGGTAGACTTAGTGTCTCGTGATTTTAATCTTCGGACAATTGCCGAATGGCCCCAATGCCATTTGGCACAGTCGACCCATTCAGTAATCTACAAGATACCGCGTTGTGTGGAATGAGCCGATATGGCTCCAACTGAAAACTGTTGTTGACGTGAGGCTCCAGACGTTGATTTCATGGTGCATGCATGAATGACATGCTTTCATAAAAATCATGAAAACTGTTGTTGACGTGAGGCGTCAGACGTTGATTTCATGGTGCATGCATGAATGACATGCTTTCATAAAAATCATCAGGTGATTTTGTGACAGAAAAGTGTTGTAGGGAACACTGTAAGGATAATGTGGATCACACTAAGAAATGAGGGAAACATGAGCATGTCTAGTGATGGCACGAGGGTGAGATAGCCTTCGAATCATTACTGAACAAATGTAGCATGTGAAAGGCGCTTGAGTGCAAGTGCCAGGTCAATTTCCATTACCCAAAATTTCTACATTAAACCATTTCATCATGTAATTTTGACATTTTTGGTCTCCCGTTTCTTGTGTGAAAAAAGGTATTAAAAATGCAAACGGAAAAACAACAAATGGCACTCATGCATTACACAGGACATCTACCTACTATATTGGGTCCCTTACCCTAACCCTAGCCCTAACCCTAGCCCTAGCCCTAGCCCTAAACCATTGAAATAATCCTAATAAATAGAATACACTGACCGAACCGGCACGAAAATGGCTGATGTTTCCAGTGTAATGCATTCTTACAGCTTCGAAAAATAAAATACTAATAAACTCCATTTCTGCGTAATGATGCAAATTACTTAATGAATAAAATATATATGTATATTAGTTCTCTGATGAAATTCTTCAAAGGCATTTAGAAGTTGGTGTAGTAATACAAGACAAATCTTATGGTGAAAAATAAACCAAGAAGTTGTTATCCATAAGATTTGTCTTGTATTATATTAGTTCTCATTAATAATTCATTTAGTCCTAATAGTTAAGTTGAAACTGAAATATAAAATATATTTAAATAATTAAATTGACCAAAACTGCTAATAATAGATATCACAAAACAAAACACCTCAGCACCACTTAATACAAACAAATATGAGCGTATTAGTGAAAAAAAAATAAAATTTTAAACTGGTGCTTGCGAAACATTGTGCATCCACCAGTAAACAACTACCCATACTGGAAACTCTCAACACAGTTGGAACATACGCAATGACATAGCTAGTAGAGATGAAACATCAGTGAGCGGAGCTTATATGCACTCGCTGAGCTAAACCACGTTGCTATGCCGGCGTCATAGGGCATTGTTTCCAGAACGTGCTTTTGAACAAAATCACATAAAATTGCGTAAAAGGGTATAATGATGTATTTTTAAAGTTTGTGGTGCTGTATTCTAAAGGTAGGCTGATAACAGAAAGTAGATAGACGAGTGATCACTCTTGAACATAGAGATTTTTTCTGGGTTACATCTTCTTTTTATTAGAAGAAGATGTAACCCAGAAAAAATCTCTATGTTCATCAAATATCATCTTCTAAAATGCCAATCAAGCATCTGATCACTCTTGGCTGGTCTGGCTCCTGAATGTTTCTAGGGCAACAGTCCTGACCTCACTCAAACCAATGACACATAGAGTTCATGCTCAAACACAGACTATTATGTCTCATTAGGTCAAATACTTTGTAACCAATTTGTCCCTGTAATATGTACACCAACACATAACATGTAAAGCAACACCACACAGAGATGCAGTACACACAACCAGAAACATATACAGAGTCCAGAATAATCTCAAAATTTCAAACTTGGCCAGTGACATGTAACAACCCAGAGTCACTATTAATATTGGTATTCATACTTTGTCACCAAACGTAGAGCTCTTTAACACAAAACAAATAGTTCACATGATATGAATGGTTTGTTCTCATCTTTCAAGCACCTTCCTTAAGTAAACATGAATGTACTCTCAAATAATTGATTCTGTAATGGGTCAGTTGAGTTTAGGTTTCTTTCTTTCTTTGTTGTTTAATTCTGCACTCATCAATATTTACGCTATATGACGGCGGTCTGTAAGTAATCGAGTCTGGACCAGACAATCCAGTGATCAACCGCATGAAACTCAATCTATGCAACTGAGATACAATCACATGTGTCAAACAAGTCAGTGAGCCTGACCACCAGTGATCCCGCTTATGACTAGGATGGGTTGTTGAAGACCAATTCTAACCTGGACCATCACGGGTTGTTAGAGTTTCTGTGTCATCATGGCATCAGCAAAGACATGTGAATTCTTGTATGTTTCTTTAAGGGGCAGGGATAATATGACATGCTATGCATCTGGGTCACTTAGCATGGGAGTGAAACTTATCTCACTATTGGAACAATGAAGTTGAAATAATTACTTGTATCTAATCTTCAGACATCTGCCACAACCATATTACAATTTTATTCTGGTCATGCATTTACATCCACACATATTCTCATTTCCAGTTTACAGCCTACAGAATAGAAAAAGGCATCTTGCAATTTTCACACTAACTGCACCTTTCTTGCAATTTTCACCTGCCAGTTCTTAATTTGGGAACTTCAAACATTTAATTTACTTACATCAATATAATTACTTCCAGAGATCATGTGCTATACTCAAAAACTCTGACACTGGTAACTAATTAGTAGGAAGCTACAATGTATTACCATCTGACATTACGTTTAATTTTAATGATATTATAAAGGGCTGTTACCGGGACTGTTTGCTTGCTATATGGGAGTTGTTTGAAATTATTGTTGATACTTGTGTGCTGGGTGTTGTTGAAACATCAGAACTACTACCTGCCTTGTGGGAGTTGTTGAAATTATTACTTGTGTGCTGGGTGTTGTTGAAACATCAGAACTACTCCTTGGGAGAAGTTACTGTCTGAGTGTTTGTTGTGTCAATGCTGGAAGAAGTAACTGTTGGTGCCTGGGCGCTCATTGCTGCAGTGCTGGAGGAACTTGTTATGTCCGAAGAGGGATTTGTCTGAGCCCTGGTTGGGGTCACACTCAAAGACAGCTGTGAGCTATGACTGGATGATAGCGTCAGATCTGAGATATGGCAGAGGAAGGTACTTCACAATATGACTTTATGGCTATATACAGAATCTGTGCTGTATTAGGATATATAGAGTGTGTAATGAGCTACAAGGTGCAACACTATCGTTTAGTAACCTATACAGGTGCATATATTTCAGTTACCGGTCATTGGGGCATTTAGGAAGTTACAGTACTTGGTAAATGATACTTATACATTGTCAACATCAGGCAACACATGAACACATACACACTCCTAGGTAAAGTGCTGATGTCACAATCAGGTAACAATAGGCAACAATAATAACAGGGAGCACCTTTAGAATACAGCACCACAACTTCTCTTGAGGATGTTCTCTGCTGTAGGTCATGTGTTACTAAGACAAGCAACCAGTTTGTGAGAATCTGTCAGATGCGAACCCGCGACCTTCGGATTGTTAGCCCGACAGCTAACCGACTGAGCTACGTCCACACTGTTACACATTGTGCAAATTTATCAAGTCATTCCTGTGACGTCACGGAAATGAACGGAAAGCATCGAATAGGTCACGGACAATTACGAAGGTTACGGGTAGACTTAGTGTCTCATGATTTTAATCTTCAGACAATTGCCGAATGGCCCCGATGCCATTTGGCACACTCATCCCATTCAGTAATCTACCGTATATGACCGTCTATAAGCCGAGTCAATGGAAAACGAGGCGGGTAATCAGTTCGTGATTGTTGAATGGGGTAAAATAAGCAAGCCAGTTTGTTGCTACAATAAATATGGTATTTAGAGAAGCAAAATATATTAAGCATTTTCTGTCAACTACACTTCGTTTCGATCTGTGAGTAGACACAATATATATGACAGTGAATTCTTTGAATAATGTGGACCAAAGTTGTAATTATTGGTAACTGCCAGTTGTCTGTGGTCTGTGTTTGCCGCGATTAGGACCCCATCGCGGGGGATCGACTTATGCACGAAACATACCATTTTGACACTGTTTTAAGGGTCAAGTTTGGGGGTCGTCTTATCCATGGGGTCGTCTTACAGACGGTCATATACGGTACAAGAGACCGTGTTGTGTGGAATGAGCCGATATGGCTCCAACTGAAAACTGTTGTTGACGTGAGGCGTCAGACGTTGATTTCATGGTGCATGCATGAATGACATGCTTTCATAAAAATCATCAGGTGATTTTGTGACAGAAAAGTGTTGTAGGGAACACTGTAAGGATAATGTGGATCACACTAAGAAATGAGGGAAACATGAGCATGTCTAGTGATGGCACGAGGGTGAGATAGCCTTCGAATCATTACTGAACAAATGTAGCATGTGAAAGGCGCTTGAGTGCAAGTGCCAGGTCAATTTCCATTACCCA